TGCATCACAGTATCAAATAGTGATGATACCAGGCATTCATGAAAGATGAGCATGTGCTGCTCCACCATTGGCATCTGTCACAAACACATACAAAGGCATGGCAATTCACCTGAAAAATATCGAATATGTGGTACAATTCAAAATAGGTAATTTTGGACTTGTCATCATCACAGACATTAATTCTCAGTAGTGCACTAGTGTAGTATTAGGATAGAATTCCCAATTAAGGAATAACTGGGAAACAAATAATGATGATAATAAAAATAAACATGGATAAAATGTCAAGCCTGAATTAAATTTGTTGCCTAAATAAACCAGGCATTAGCATCAATGTACGCAATTGGGATTCACTGACATGTCAATCAAGATCACCAGATCCTGATAGTCACCAAGCATGGCTTACGACAAGCATGGCTTATGACAAGCATGGCTTATGACAAGCATGGCTCACGACAAGCATGGCTCACGACAAGCATGGCTTACGACAAGCATGGCTTATGACAAGCATGGCTTATGACAAGCATGGCTCACGACAAGCATGGCTCACGACAAGCATGGCTTATGACAAGCATGGCTTATGACAAGCATGGCTCACGACAAGCATGGCTCACGACAAGCATGGCTTATGACAAGCATGGCTTATGACAAGCATGGCTCACGACAAGCATGGCTCACGACAAGCATGGCTTACGACAAGCATGGCTTACGACAAGCATGGCTTATGACAAGCATGGCTCACGACAAGCATGGCTTACGACAGGCATGGCTTGCTTAAGACCAATCCTAACCCAGATCTTCACACTGGTGTCCTCAGTGTTATAGTTGTCACAGACAGTGCGGATGAACTCTTCCTCCACAACAGATGAGGACGCCCATTGTTCCCATTAATCCATTTTCAAATTGTATGAGAGGTACTCGTAGGTACTCTTAGGTCAGGACCTTCACATCCTCTTCACAAACATCATAATAAACATCCCATTGTCATTTATATTTTCATAACACAACCATGTGGCATCAGGAAGCCCTTCATCAGAGGGTGTGTGTGTGTGTGTGTGTGTGTGTGTGTGTGTGTGTGTGTGGCAGGTGGGGGTTGTGTTTATCTTGACATGAACACATGGGTATCAGTGATCCATTCAGATAATTTTCTCTGTTATTTTGTCTTTCAAGACATGTGGAATCAGTTTAGGCAGATAATCCAGACTGGTTATTTTCAGATATTTATGTTTTGTGTTATAGTCAAGGAGCTTATGGGATTCCGTGAAAGTTTTTTGATGAAAGCAAATCATATATTCTTTTGTGTTTATATGTTAAAGGAGTCTAAAAAAATGTTTGGTTCCAATCTGAATATTGATGCGAAAGCTATTTTTAGCTCAAAATCCAAGATGGCCGCCAAAATTTAACCGGGAACTGAAACAGTTGCAAAAACACGGAACAAAACAATGGTTTAATATCAAATACGATGCATATTTGGTGACGGAATATATTTCGCGTATGCTGTAAGTCACCAGATCTTTTTAGTTTGATTTTAGTCTTAAATTTACATTAAAGAGTCAGTTTTAGCTCTAAAAGTTATAATGATGAATAAAACCCCCATTTCTTCACAAGGCATATATTTTGTATAGAACTAGTACAATATGAAAAAGGAATATACTTTTTACCCTGTTTATCAACTATAGAAGAGGTCTTACATGAAACTGCGACCCAGAAATATACTCTTCAAAAAAAGAAACGCACAAGCCATTTTTTAGAAGAATTTCTTGCATTAGTTTAAGAGCTATTATTTCATGTAATCCCAATGGTAAAAAGGTGAAAATTCAAACGTCTATAGACAAAGCCTTTACTGTTGTGTTTCTGTTTGCTTGAGTCCACAAGATGGCGTCAAAGTCAGTTCTTTGTATGGCCACCATTGGCAGCAATTACTGCTCGGCACCGTCTCGGCACACATTGGATAAATTGACGAAGCAGCTATTATCATTGCAGGCGACTTCAATTTCCATTTTGACAACAAGGATAACCATGACACTAAACGAATAATTAATCTCTAAACTTGTGTCCGAGGCAAGCCACAGAGGTGGACACACTCTGGACTGAATAGTTACCGTGCTTCAGACGCATGTGTCAGTTGTGTACCTGTATAGGATCTACAGCTCTCTGACCATTTCCATATCTTTGTGAGCTTGGACCTCTCAATACCCAGTCCAAATGTGAAGATTACTCGCTGTAGGAACATGCGCTTCTTGGATATGGATACTTTTAAAGACAATTTGCTAAACTCAGACCTTATACTTGAGCCACCATCTGATGCTGAGTGTCTCGTTCTGCTATACAATAGAGTTCTATCTGAGCTGCTATATAGACAAACATGCACCAGTTAAGGACAGAGGCATAACAGTCACTAAAACATCTGCTTGGGACTTCACACCTAAAGTTCGACAAGCGAAAAACGACAAGAGGAAAGCAGAACGCAGATGGAAAACAATCTTTCCTGGAGATTCATAGCCAAATGTATATTCAGCCAAAAATCACTCAACAACGGTCATCAGACAAATCAACATCTCAATTCTACGATTGAAGCCAACGAGTCAAGTCCAAAGTTGCTGTTCAAACTTTTGTTCAGTATCTTGAGTAAACACTTTGAATCAACACTTCCGACATCTGATGACAATGAAGTAATAGCACAGACATTTTCGGATTATTTCTACAAAAAGATCAAAGAACATTCATGACAAGATTTCGTCTTCTGCGACTGTGGATGAAGCTGATATTCCTCCAAAAATGTTTGATGGCATGCCTCTTACTCATATTGATAGTTTCACTGATATTTACCAACATTAGTGCTAATTATTAACTCTTCTACTTCATCTGAGTATGTCCCAAGTGTACTCAAGTCAGCTCTAGTTAGGCCACATCTGAAGAAATCAAGCCTTGATTAGGAGGATCCAAAAAACTACAGGCCTGTTTCAAATTTAGCATTTATATCCAAACTCATTGAACGTGCAGTCTCCAGTCGTCTTTCCTGGCGTAACCTCTATGAGGTGTTCTTATCAGCTTGCAGAGCACACCACAGCACAGAGACGGCTCTGCTGAAGATCCCGAATGACCTACGATGTGGTATTGACACAGGACAAGTGGCCCTGCTCACATTACTTGGCCTAAGCAAAGCCTTTGACGCGATTGATCACCAGAGACTCCTCAAAAGACTTGATACAGAACTTGGATTCAGCTTTATCCTGGCTGGCATCTTATCTACAGGACAGGACTCAAACCGTTGTTGTTGGTGAGTCTGTGTCAAGCGCATCTAGGCTTGAGTGCGGAGTCCCTCAAGGATCCGTGCTTGGTCCGATCCTCTTCACCCTCTACACTGTTCCACTTAGCTCTGTTGTAGCAAACCTTAATCTTGACCACTTCTACGCAGATGACACGCAGCTGTGGAAGTTATTTCAACCAAACACAGAGTCAGCTATAGAGCGTCTCTCTGTCAGACATCAGACTGTTGCCAGAAGATATTCATGGATGTTATCAAATGCCTTGAAATTAAATTAAGAGAAAACAGAGTCCATTCTTTTGGGACAGGCTGGAAAACGCAAGCAGTGTGACATTACTAGTGTGAGTATCTGTGGAGCAATCATTCCTCTTTCTTCCACTGTCAACGATATGGATGTTGTCATCGATCAAGATCTAAGTATGACAGAACACGTCAAGTATGTTACTGAAACTTGCTACTTCCATCTCCACAATATCAAAGGCCACACCGTTCTTACCAAAGATGCCACAAAAACTCTCTGCCTCAGCCTAGTCACATCTCGTATGGACTACTGTAACAGCCTTTTGGCCGGATCTCCATCTTGTGTCACTGACCAACTCCAATACATACAGAATTTAGCTGCTCGCATTACCACCCAGATCACCAGAAAATAGCACATCAAACCAACTCTAAAGGACCTTCATTGGCTGCCCGTGAAACAAAGAATCTCCTTCAAACTATCCTGCCTCGCATACCAGTGCATGACTAACACGGCTCCAGTCTAACTCTCAGATCTTCTTCAGGCTTATGTACCATCTAGATCTCTCAGATCAGGGAATCAACACCTTCTTGTTATCCCCAAAGTCAAACAAGCTAAATATGGACAGAGTGTCTTCTCCTATCCTGCTGATAAAAATTTATCTCCCCACATTTATTTGTATATCTTCTTTTTCAAAGATTATAACCATTTTAGAAAGTTATTCGATCTGATGACTTGAAAATTATTTCAAGGGATTTAATTGAGAGTGTGTGAAGCAGAAAATAGTGTTTTTCTCCATCATTTCATTGTATTCTTATCTATTTCAAAGAACTCTGCTTTTAGAAGAAAAACTTCAAGCGTAATAATAAGAAATTGATAAATCATAATCTGATATTGACATACTACATTTTGAAATAAGGACTGCTCCCTTACTGACAGTCACACCAAACAAAAATAAACATCTCTTTTTTGTTTCATACATAACTGTTCTTTAATAACTTGATTTACATTGAGTTGATGAAATGAAGCAATCATATACATATACTTACAAAATGCACAAAACCTACATCTGCTTAAATTCGTCTGCTAACTGCCATTTTGAGAGAGGTAGTGTTGATTATATATATTTTTTTAATTTAAAAAATATATTTTGGGGTTTTCTTTTAATAAAATATTTCATGAAATAGAGAAACACACTTAGATAAAGTTAATAACCTCAAACTTTAAATATTCAACTCTCCCATTATGACCTTCTGACCTTTTAGCAACCTTTTCCACAACCACTTTGTACAGTGCTCAAAAGTACTATTTGCACCATATTTCAACTTGGAACCAAACTTTTTATTTAACTAGCATGTCTCATGAATACAAAAAACACAATGTCTTGCTTTCATCACAAAACTTCCACGGGACTTGAATGCTGTACCCATCCTCCCAGACTATTATACAATATCTGATGTTTATCTATGATTCCTGATCCCAGGTTTTAATTTTCAGATACGATAGAAGAAAGACTTTCTGCCTTTACATTGTGAATGGTGAGTATATGAATTACCTATTCACAAACATATTTAAGTGAACGTAAACTATTTTTCATAAGATACATGCAGAAAACTATTTTGTCAAGTGCACAAGTCATTTGTAAGGTGTTGAGGTCAGTCCTATGGAATTAAAGCCTCACAACTTGAATAATGGGTTTTAGCCATCATTGAACCTGGAAAATATCATTTCACCATGACTAGACAATAAATAGTTGTAATTTTTAACATTTTCCCCCAATCTTTTCATTTTGATGGTTACCACAATCTTTAATTTCTGAATTCAGAAATGTAGAATTTTTATGCTTGTCATGCTTTTAGGTGGTTTAATTTTGTAATCAGTCACCATAATCTATGTATTGAAGTAGGTTGCCTTATGATTGAACTGTATTGATACAGATTTAAAGGTTATAAGTTTTTTTTATAGTATTCATTCCAAGCGAAGGTTTCAGTTGTCCCAAGAGATCAGCAATGATTGAGATGTATTCGGTTATTCCTTTTGGTTTAGTAGTAGCTGAGAGTAAAATGTCCATTTTGGTATTGTCAGCGATACACTTTTCATTTGTATTACATAGATTAAAGTAATTGTTATTATTACATATTAGCTTAATACCAGTTGAAAATTATCACCATTAAAACCATGTTTGTTGGATAATTGAGATTATTTATACTATTCCAATAATTGACAATTATCACAACTACATAGATTAATATAATTGTCAAGTGTTAATATTAGTTTAATACCTGCGACAATTATCACCATTAAAACCAGGTTTGTTGGATAATTGGAACTGTTGAATACTGTTGCAACATTTGACAATTATGACAATACAATTGCAGTGGTATGGGTACAACAAATGTACAATTGCAGTTGTAATAACCCTATAGTCCCCTTGTGCCAATGCCGCTAAAATGCAAGCGAGGATTTTCAATCTTGGGCTTTGAATTTTCCAGGATTTATTGTTATCGCAGTTTGCTTGGCATGTAATCTAAGTCTTTTGCTGATATGAAAACAAATAACTAGACAAGAATGTGCATCAATTTTGATGGAAGAAAATGTCCTTTTTCATTTTGAAAGTTCCAACTGACATACAAAAGGGTATTTCAATTTTCCAGGATTTAATGTTTTCATGGTTTATTTAGCCCGTAATCTTAGTCTTCTGCAGATATGAAAATGATTAAACAGACTAGAGTGTGCATCAACTTTGATGGACAAAAATGTCCTTTGTCATTTTTAAAGTGCCATCTGACATAGGAAAACTGTCATTGAATGTTGTACATGAACCATTAACTACCGACCTGACGGGAATTTACAGGGCACTTTAGACGCCCTGATGACACATTTCCACTAGTCGTGTCTACAGGCCTTGTTACACTTTCCAATGTTCCCTACTGATGTGAAGGACAGAGGCTCTTGAGAAGTTCTAGCAGTTTTAGACTTTAAGCATGTGACGAGTCTGCTCAATCAGTCTGGATGTTCCTGATAGGATTGGTCTGATGTGTTCCGTAATCAACAGTGTAGTTAATAAATTGCTCAGGTCTGATCTCTGGGCTAAGTATTTCTTTTTGGAAAGACGTCAGTGGGATTTTTGTGATGTTACGAGGTTTGACTGGAAGTTTTGCATGATGGTACTTGGTCACTGAACGTTCATCTCACTTGACCACTCTCCAATGTTTGCTGACATCTTCATACTTTACCAGCTTTCAACAGTGACCAATTTGTTAAACTTACTGAATTGCTTGTACTAAAATAACAAAATATGTGTGCACATGAGTACATGAGGTAATCCTAATCCATGCATATAATACAATGCCAAACCAAACCAAATTAGAACTGATGAATAATCTTATCTGTTGATGTTTTATTGCAAATTTGAAATCTTCACGGACAGTGGTCATTTTTTCTTGTTCTTTCACACGAAATGAAACGATGACGTTTTCTTACCACCGGGTATTCTTTCGCAGTGGTATTCTGTATCTTAGTTGTACCTCACTGACATCTTGTAATGACATCGACAAAAGATTTCGCTATCTGGGCTTTACATTTCCCTTCAAGACAGGGGGTCCAGAGAACCCCCAGTTAGTAATTATAGGGTTCTGTAAGTAATGAAACAGTGTGGTGTGTGTGGTATGGTGTGTGGTGGTGTACGTGTCGTGTGTGGTGCAGTGCAGTGCAGTAAAAGATGCAATAATCACAGTTATAAAACCTATGAATATTCGGGTCAGAAGTGAAGTGAGAGAGATGAGTAATGGGATCGGGACTGGTTGCTGTCTCGGTTGACACACATGATATCAACCTCCTTGCCTGGTGTCATCACTGTTTTATTCATTGACACATCCATATGACACCATCCAGATCATAAAATTGTCTCTGCCTTTGGGGTGATTTCTTATGGTCATGGAAATAGTTTTTTAAGCTTTTATTATTACATATGTTACAAGAATCTTAATTGTAATAACTTTACATGTGCCAGTAATGTCTTATTTGACTTTCTCTGTCTGGGTCATCAGAAAATGGCACCCACTAAGTTTGTTCACTGTCATGATCAAATCCTTATGTAAGGATTTTTTACTCTACATGAGCAGACAACCTTCAGTCTGAATACTGTGAGGGGCGGTGGGGTAGCTTAGTGGTTAAAGCGTTGGCTCGTCACGCCGAAGATGCGGGTTCGATTCCCCACATGGGCACAATGTGTGAAGCCCATTTCTGGTGTCCCCCACCGTGATATTGCTAGAATATTGCTAAAAGCGGCATAAAAGTAAACTCACTCACTCACTCACTGAATACTGTGAAGATCGGTATTCATACAAGACTCATTCATTCATACTTTCAAGAAGAAATAGTTTCTTTGGAGATGTTTACTCGAAGATTACTTTGGAGAGAAATCAGGAAAGTCATTGCCAAGGCAAATGGCACATAGCACATAAAGACCTGTCATGGAATGCACCTTGCTTGAGTTATGGCCTACTCTCAGTGTTAGTGATAACAAATACTTCCTCTTGTGTAGACCACTCAGGAGACTCCACAAGGGGTAGATGGGCCAGTGTGTGGTATACAGGGTGAACTGAGTGGTGAAAGTAGAGGCAGGTCACCTACTTGAATGGCCAAATGGTTGTGACTATTTGGAGCATGTCAATTGTTGGTGTAGTGGTGTTGTTTCATGTGGAACTATGGTGTTACTGTGTACTTTGTATGGTGATGGTATGTTGAGAGGTCGTCCCTTCCAACAACACATTCCTTGTCGGGATCAACATGCCCTTTGCCAGTTTGTAAGTTGTGACTCTCTGTTACAAATGTTTCCAATAAGTAAACTGTGATGGTCTACAAACATTTCCAAATTGTTTTGGTTTGGTTTGTTGTTTAACGCCGCACTCAGCAATATTCCAGCTACATGACAGCAGTCTGTAAATATTCGAGTCTGGACCAGACAATCCAGTGATCAACAGCATGACCATTGATTGATGTAATTGGAATATGATGATGTGTGTCAACCAAGTTAGCGAACCTGACCACCCGATCCTGTTAGTCGCCTCTTACGACAAGCATGGGTTGCTGAAGACCAATTCTAACCCGGATCTTCAAGAGATTGGGATTTAAAGATGAAATTATGTGAGTATTGGAAATCAGTTATGACAACAGGGTTCATGGAAACGTAGCCATCATATTGCTGGAATATTGCTGAGTGTGTCTTTAAACAACAAACAAACAAAATCATGAAAAGTTAAGCCATCCTGCCCAACTGGTAGCACCATGTACTCCTTCAGGCTGAAACAATGTTGTAAAAGCCTTAGTATAATATTCGATCTGGTTTCAGTTCTGCTAAATATATATCCCAGAGGATAACCAGTCATTTATCTGACTAAACAGCTCCCACTGAGTGTAATTAATCACATTTGTTCATGCTGTGTTTGCTGACTCTTTAAATGAGAGCAGGTATTTTTTGTTAGGTTTGATGTATTTTATACAGACTTGCAACAAGTCACCTCTGCAGAGCTGTAGGTGATTGCAGTGGACATCGTTATCACCTGATCGATGGTCATTATAAATGGTTTTCAGTCCAGATCTACATCGCATGTCAATAGTTTATAAATGATTTTGGATTTGCCTTGTTATTACAAAGAGCTACGGACTGTCTGACAGTGTTTTCCAGATAGATCTGCAGTTTAAGTCTACATCGCATGTCAATAGTTTATAAATGATTTTGAGTTTGCCTTGTTGCTACAAAGAGCTACGGACTGTCTGACAGTGTTTTCCAGATAGATCTGCAGTTTAAGTCTACATCGCATGTCAATAGTTTATAAATGATTTTGAGTTTGCCTTGTTGCTACAAAGAGCTATGGACTGTCTGACAGTGTTTTCCAGATAGATCTGCAGTCCAGATCTACATCGCATGTTATATGCTTGAGCAATGAGCATTCAATGTGATCTTATACCAAATGCTTTTGTTTTTATGCCCCTGCCATATATGGCTGGGGGCATATAGGGTTACCCTCCGTGTCCGTCCGTACATCCATCCGTACGAAACAGGGAATGTACTCTATCCACTTCTCCACAAAAAAAGCAGTGTAGAATTTAATGAACTTATGCATGGGCTTTCTTGGGACTCTAATGGTGTGCATCTCATATTTTGTTTTTGTATTTTATAGTTTTTTATATGTTTAGAGACATTTGAACTTAGATAAATTTTGTTGAATTTCTCTCTGATGATAGTGAAATAGGGGATTAAGTCTATCCACTTCTCCACAAAAACTAGTCAACAGAATTGATAAAGCTTATACATGTCTTTCATATGGACTCGAAAGGTGTGCATCTCATAGTTGCATAGATGTTTATTAAACTTGTTTGGGAATTTTGTTTAATTATTGATCTTTATATGTCTTATGAATGTCAGCGGGGGCATCCGTGGCCCTGGACACAATTTTTTCTTGTTGTTTTTCTGTTGTTGAACGTCACACGTGGCAATACTCCAGCTATATAACAATGGTCTGTAAAGACCTGA